CCTCCTCGGTGACGGGGGGTACAAGGATTTCCAGAAACTAGTGGAGGAGACAAGCCCATACGGCCCCCCCCCTACAGAAACAGACACGTAAAACAGATTGATACTTCCCCATTTCCTTTGTCACATTGAAACGTAGCGAACGCCCGATCTGAACTCGGCGGCTCCTACCGTCCTAGTGCCCAGATGAGGACTTATGTAACTAGCTTACTTAGTGGACGTTAATAATAAAACAAACAAACAAACAAACTAGTATAGGAAGTTCCAAAAGCTATATAAAGTAACATTAGACACCGGGTTACTATTACACTCGCAGTAGGATCACTGTATTAAGTTAGTAAATAGAAAATAACCTAAGACCTATAAGATTTACAACCTTAACGAAAAGGAGCTAAAGACTCTAAGGGAATAGTTAGATAAATAACTGGAAAAAGGATATATCCGAGTTTTTAATTTATTAGTAGGATACCCTGTGATGTTTATACTAAAGAAAAACGGGAAGTTGCGACTAGTTATCGACTATTAATAACTTAACGAGATTACTATTAAGGATCGAATACCGCTGCCACTGATCTCTGAAATCAGAGATAGACTAGCAACTGCAAAGTGGTTTACGGCTCTTAACCTAAAAGGAGCCTATAACCTTATTTAAATTAAGGAAGGAGACGAATGGAAAATAGCGTTTAGAATGCGCTATAGATTGTTTAAATGTTTGGTTATGCCCTTTGGACTTACTAACGCGCCAGCTACGTTCTAAAGAATGATCAACGAAGTCCTTAAGGAATATATTGACAAATTCGTTATTGTCTACCTTGACGACATACTGATCTACTCTGATACCTTGGAAGAGTATGAACGATATATGTATTAAGTCTTGGAAACCCTATAGAAAGCAAACCTGTTAGTGGAACCTGAGAAATGTCAGTTCTACGTACAGGAAGTTAACTTTCTGGGGTACATTATCTCGCCCGGACAAATCAAAATGGACCCTGCCAAGATAGCAGCTATCAAAGAATAGAAGGTCCCTGAAATAGTCAAGGAAGTACAAAGTTTCCTTGGACTAGCCAATTACTATCGACAATTTATTTGAAACTACAGCAAGATTGCTGCACTACTTATAGATCTGACTAAAAAAGATCTAAATGACAAAAAAAAGAATCGACCGATCAAATGCATGGGGAAGGCTCTTGAAGCTTTTAAAGCTCTTAAAGAAGCCATTACTAGTACACCGGTACTATGAATATACGACCCCAAGAGGCCCGTTATTGTTAAAACGGACGCCTTAAACTACGTAATTAGAGGAGTTCTTAGCTAACGAGATAATAAAGGAATATTATATCTAGTAGCCTTCTTCTCTAAAAAACTCCACGGTCCTGAGTTATAATATTCCACATATGACTAAGAACTTATGGCCATCTTTAAAGCATTTAAAGAATAGAGATCGTACCTATTAGGTAACGAACATAAGATCACTGTGTATTCCGATCATAAGAATCTTATAAGCCTAGCTACGAAAGAAATAGATATCTCCATACGGTAAGAAAAGTATCTTAGGCTTATAGCCAAGTACGATTTCGAGATTATACCCTGTAAAGGATTAGAAAATAGCCGCGTAGACGCTCTTAGCTGTAGAGAAAACTACTTTAAACTAATGCTGAAACTTACCTCGCTAATGTTTTAAGAAACGGTAGAAGGGTATTATGAATTAGTAGCTATTAATACCTTTTTCATAATTAAAGATAGAAACCCCATCCTTGATAAAATTAAGGATAAAGTCAGCAACTGGACATCAGATCAGTTCCCTGAGGACGTGACCCTTACCGAAGGAATTCCCTATAAAAATAAAAAAATCTAGGTACCAGAATCACTGCAGAAAGAAGTAACAAAGACGGTCCACGAGCACCCGCTATATAGACATAAGGGAGTTATTAAGATACTGCAATAAGTATAACGGTACTATACCTTTACAAGTATAAAGAAAGTCATTAAAGGAATCGTTTAATTATATATCTTATGCGCAAAAACGAAGTCTAGTCGATAAAAACCTTACGGCAAACTGCAACTATTACCAGTACCAGAGCACCCTTAGAGCTTTATCTTATTTAATTACATTATTAAGCTACTACTATTAAAGGAGCCTATAATAAATATAATATACAATAGTATCTTTGTTATTATTAACAGATTGACGAAATAAGGTATCTTTATTCTGTATAAAGAAGGAAGTATAGTAGAAGAATTAGGCTATATAATATAAAAGTATATAGCCTTGAAATATAGATTACCTGCGGAAATCATTTCCAATAGAGGATTAACGTTTATGTCCAAATATTAGTAAAGCGCTACAGTAAGGATAGGTATAAACTATAAAGCCAGCACCGCTTACTACCCTTAAACGGACGGACAGACGGAATACGCCAACCAGATCGTTAAAGCATACTTACGAAGCTACATTAACTTCGACTAGAACGACTGGGTTAAGTACTTACCTAATGCAGAATTCTCCTACAACAATTTAGTCTCGGAATCTATAAAACTTTCGCTATTTTACGCTAACAAAGGGTATTACCCTTAAGTATATAGAATACTACAAAAAGGAAAAGACGTGTAAAAAGTAATGCTTAAGGCGGACGAGCTTAAAGAATTACATTAAGAACTGCGCGCGCAACTAGAACTTATGCAAAAACGTATAAAGAAGTATATGGATAGGAAAAGGCTTAGAGGACTAACCCTTCAGGAGGGAAACATGGTCTACCTACTGCAACATACTCAAGGAGAAAAACAAGCTAACATTAAAACAAACAGGCCAAGCGATAAGCTAGACTATAAGAAAGTCAGGCCTTATAGGATTTTAAAGAAAATCGGCGAAGTTAATTACAAACTGGACCTCCTAGAACAGCTAAATAAACAAGGAAAACCAGTACACCCGATTTTCCACGTCTTACTACTAGAAAAAGCACTAATAAATGAAGACACTGGAGAACTCATTAAGGATAAAATCGTTATTTAAGGCGAAGAACTCGAATACGAAGTTAATAAAATAACATCGCTAAAAATAGATAAAATAACCGGTGAACTCCAATACCTAGTGGAATAGAAAGGATACGACAGGGACGCAGATAGCTAGGAACCAGAAAGTAACTTCGAATACGCTAGCGCTGCTCTAAAAATCTTCCAAAACAAACTCCGGAAACAACTGCAAGTACGATAAAAATAAATACAGGAAGAACTAGAACACCCTGCAAAACCTAAGAAGACGACGACGAGGGAGCACCCCCTATTAAGGTAAGAAGATCAGGATCTAAGAACCCTAAATCGGCGCTGGAAGAAAACCAGCTAACCCCGCTTATAGACTGCACGTCGCGAAGAAGCTGCGCCTCTTCGCGCTGCACACGAGCCAGCTCTGCCTGGCGTTCTTCCTCCTTGCGACGATCTAACTCCTCTATCTCCTCCGCGCTTAAACTACGTTTTACCATCTCCACTCCGCAATTGCAAAGCATACGGCGAAGCTTCCGCAACCGCATCAATCAAGCAAGCGCCTTATCAACTTGCTTCTGTTGCTCGGCCTGCTGACAACAACGCTCCAGTAACACTTACTTAGCCACCTCTTCTTGCTGCTTTAAACGCTTTAACTCCTCGGTAATCCTATTAACTAGTAAATAAATTAATAAGGAATGACTAAAAGAAAAGGAGGGTACCTATGAGAAGACATCGGAATAAATAAACCGTTACAAGGACGACCTAATGAATAGCAGTGACCACACTTACTGTAACCTTCAACCGATATACACTTTAACTTACTATTAAAATACCGTAAATAAGGAACAACCTTAAATCCAAAAGTTTAAATAAATAAAGATTAAGATTCGCGAAACTGCGTCACCCGGGACTTAGCCTTAGTCTTAGATATACGGTCCAGTATAATAAAAAGGTTAGAAGGAGGAAGAAATACTTACCTAAACTAATAAGGGGACTGCGACGCTTATATAGGAAGCAGCTTAGGCCTTAAGGACAAGACCAACGGGAGGGGAGTACTATATTACGAACTAATACATTTATGGTCGCAACAACGGGCCTACAGGGTAGGCACCTCGGATAAAGGACGGACCGTCCCATCCAATCGTACAAGTGTTCACGACACAATGAGTGAACACTCGGTGAACAGGAACCCAATCGGGAAAGTATTTACTTACAACGGCGTAAACACCAAGTGAACGCCCAACTATATATTTATTTCACAACGCTCGTTTAGAATAGCTTAGATAGCCAGTTGTAAATACAGAACAACGCTTGATTATACCTACAAAAGTATTATCTACTAGTTGTGTAAACAAACCCCTTTTATCTTTGTTAATTGCCCGCCAGTCCAGCCTGGCCTATCCGCTAACATAAACCTAGTACAAGGTTTGTCCCTTGGGAATTCCTCTTATACTAACACTATAGGAGCTCAGCTTGTCACAATAATGTAATTACACTTTAAGCCCCGCGACTTATAGTTCAATAACTTAACTAGATTAGATAGGCCTATTGCATCCTTCCGTTAGGTTATAAAAGGCAGTAATAATTACAAAAGCAATAAACCCTTTTAATAACTACTACTACAAACAGCCACGATAGCTAAAGGTAATAAAAAACCGACTGTAACTATGGCTAAGATAATAGCTGCTACTATAAAAAATTGTAATAAAGACGTTATTAATACCGTAGACCTTCTCTACTAGAGCCTAAAGAATAAAAAAGGTAAAAAAGGGTAACCTAAATTAATTATAAAAGAGAAAATATAAATTAGCTAAGTTAGCTAATAGTTATTAAATAAAGGTTTAATAGTAATATAATAGGCTAAGCTCCTATAGGGTTAATATAAAAAGGATTCCCAAAAAATAAACCTTATATTAGGTTTATATTAATAAATAGGCTAAGCTAAATTAATAAGTAATTAATAAAAATAAAGAGATTAGTTTATATAATTAATAAATAATACTTTTATAAGTATAATTAAGTATTATTTTATATTTATAACCAGCTATTTAAACTATTTTAAATAAGTATTATAAAATAAATAAGTATATTATAGTTATAGCTAATATATAATTTTTATTTACCTTAAAGTTTACTAAAATTTTAAGTAGTTCCTTATTTTATATTATTATAAAAGTAATTTCTTTTTTAAAAACTCCTTATTTTTTATTATTATTATATTTATATTCCTTTTTAAAGAATATAAATTCTTTATTAGTTTTATAGTACCCTTTATTTAAAACCTTCTTTAGTTTTTTAAATACTAGTTTTTAATTTTTTATAATATATATAATTTATAATATAAATTTTTATAATTAATTTATTCTACTACTCTATAGTATAGTTTTATTTACTTAATATATATATTATAAGTGATTTTATTATTTTATAAATTATTAAAAGTCTTTTAAAGTTTATAATATCTTTAAAGAAGTTTATTAAGTACTTTAGTATAAGTTTTAAAATTAAATCTTAATTTATATAACTAGTTTATAAATTATTATCTTTTAACTTATTTTTTTTCTAAAGTTATATTATACTATTCTTTTAGTTTAAATCCTTAATATTTAAGGTATTTTAACTTATTATATTATTAATACTATCCAAAAGTATATACTATAATTTCTTTATTTTAATTATATTATTAAAAAATCTTCCTAATTTAGTAAATAGTATATTAATAACTTAAGTAGTTCTTAATTTATTTATAGTTTCTGTATTTTCTTAGTATAATTAAATATAGTTTAAAAATTATAATATATAATTCTTAAAATTTATAAGTAACCTTTTATCTATTATAATATCCTTTATAATATAAATTTATAATTAAAATTACTAAGTTTCTTTATAAAAATATATTATATTTTATTTTCTACTTTAGGTAATATAAATATTAATAAGTAATATACCTTATTTAATAAATTTTATAATAATTATTATTTATAAGGTTAATCTAAGGATAATCTTAAAGTATCTATTAGTAATCTCCTCGGAGTTTTTATATTTTATTTATATTTAAACTTATAATAATTTATTATTTATTATTATATATTTACTATTATATAAATTTATCTTAAAGTTTTTAGTAAATAAAAAATTTAATATTTTACTTAAGGTTATAAATATTAACTTAATATTAAAATTTAATAAGTTTATTAATTTCTTTAGATTTACTTTTAATAAAATTAGTAATATTACTAAACTATTTTCTAAAAAATAGTAACCTATAGTTTTATTAAGTTATATTATTAATTATAGGGTTCCTAACTAGGTTAAGTATAGTTTTAGGCAAGGTTATTTCTTCCTTAGTTTTACCTATCTCCTCTAGCTCTTCTTTATATTAAAGATAGCTACTATTTTTTTATTATAATAAATTAAAAAATTATTTACTTTTATTTATAATATAAACCTCCTTTTTTAATTTTAGAATTTTATTTTTATATTTTTTCTTAGGTACTTAATAATTTTTTACTATATAGCTTAATTTACTATAGTTATAATACTTAAATTCTTTTTTATATTATAAAATATCTAAATCTATTTTTTTAGGTTTACTACTATTATCTTTAGCAATTTCCTTATATTATTTCTTACTTTAATTAGCTTAATAATTATTTTGCTAATATTATTAAGTAATACTAATCTTAAGTTTATATAGTAAATTATTAGCTTAAATATAAATATTTATAAATAAAATTAAAGTATAAGTTAATTAATTAATATTATATACTTTCTCTTTAACTCTTTATTTAAGGCTATTATAAAATTGCTTAATAAAGGCTAACTTATTTTATTTAAAATATACAGTAATATTTTAAAATTTTATAATATAGTTTAACTAAGGTATTTTTAATTATTTAGTTTTCGCTAATATTTTTAAATACTTTCTTTAACTTAAAAATATATTTATTATAATTACTAAAAATTTATTATATTTATTCTTTAGCTTCTTTAGCTAAACTTTCTAAATAATTATTTAAAATAAGCCTAAACTATTTTAAAGTAGTATCTTTAAAGTATAAGGTAGTAAAATAAACTTTCTTTTTAATAATATTAAAAATATTTTTAAAGTCCTTAAAGTATACTTTAAGTTAAATTAAATAAAAATAAAGCTTTTTAATATTTTCCTTAAATATAAAGGGTAATTAATATTTAATAAAAATTCTAATATTAATAATCTTTAGTTTTTTTTTATTAAATTTATTAACTAAGACTTTATTAAGTTAATATATATTTTAAATAAGTATAAAAAGTTTTAGGCTTTTAAATAAGGAAATATTAAATAAATTTATTATAATAATATTACTATTACTTTTAATTATAAATATACTAAGGTTAGTAGGTAGGTTATTAATAGCTAATCTAGCTTTAGGTATAATAGTTTATATTACTTAAAGGTACTTAGTATTTTTTTAAATAAAAGTTATTAATATATAATATCTTAACTTAATACTTTAATAATATAAAGTAAATTTTTAAAATAATAAACTAAAGTTAATTAATTTATATTAGCAAAAAGAATAAAAAGTAGTTTTAAGTAAATATAATTATAAAGTAAATAAAATATAATAAAAATTTAGTTTATATTTAATTTTAATATTTTATTAATAATTATTTATTTAAGTTATTTAAAAAGTATAAAGAATTAAATCTTATATATTTAATTATTTTTAATAACTTATTTTTAAGATTATAAGCCTAAGTATAAAATTACTATTTTATAAGTAATTTATTTAAGGTAGTTTATAATAAGTTTATTACGTTTACGTTAATTAGTTCTTTAAGTAAAGTATTTTTCTATAGTATATTCCTAATATACCTTATCTTAGGTCAGGCTGTAATAAAAGCTTTAATATAATAAAACTAATCTAAGACTTTTAAAAAAATTTAAAATTATATTTAAAACTCTTAACGTTAGTTACTTAATAAATAAAAAACTAGCCTAAGTAAAAGAAAAAGATATATAAGTTTTCTTTAATAATATAAAAAAACCTAAATTTATAAACTTTAAACTAATACTTAAAAAGGTTTAATCAATATTATTAAGTACCCCTAGGTACTAAAGATCTTATACTACCTAAGCTTTAAAAATACTATTTTCTTTATTTAATTTTTATATTTTATAATAAATTAGTTTACTATTATACTTTTTAACCTTTTTTTTTATATAGTAAATATAAAATAAATAATTTACAGTAGCTATTACTTTACTTTAAAAATTAGTAAATTAAGTATAAAAAAAATCTAAGGCTTTTTTAACTTTCTTTTCCTTTTTTTTTAATTTTTTTTATTAATCTAATACTTTTATTATTAAGAAAGTTTTATTAATATTATTCTATTATAAAAGGGATATATTACCTATAAGAAAATATAACTAATATTTTATTATAAAAATAACCTTATTTAATATACTTATAATAATAAAATAAATCCTTAATTATATAATAAGTAACTAATTTATAAAAATAATATAAATAAAATATATTTACTTTAGATTTATTAGTTAAAATAATTAACGTAAGTAATAATTACTTATAGGCTTTATAAAAAATAAGGTTTAAAATTTTTATATTTATAATAATATAATTAAAAAAGAAAAAATAAATAAATAAACTTATAAAATTTAAGCTATATTTATAATACTATTATATAATTAACTTTAAAAATAAAACTAATAAAAAAGAGATATTATATTATAGCCTAATTTAAGATAAAATATATTAAAACTATACTATAAAAAAATACCTTACTTAAAGAACTAATTAACGTAAAAGTATTAAGTTTATTATAAACTACCTTAGATAAATTACTTATAAAATAGTAATTTTATACTTAGGCTTATAATTTTAAAAGTAAGTTATTAAAAATAATTAAATATATAAAATTTAATTCTTTATACTTTTTAAATAACTTAAATAAATAATTATTAATAAAATATTAAAATTAAATATAAACTAAATCTTTATTATATTTTACTTACTTTATAATTATATTTACTTAAAGCTACTTTTTATCCTTTTTGCTAATATAAACTAATTAACCTTAGCTTATTACCTTAAGAACTTACCCTATACTTTATAAGTATTAGGTCAAGATATTATAAATATCTTTAATAAAGGGGATTAATTATAAGGTTAAAAAAAGGAATATTATTAAAAGTACTAGGGTAATACCTTAGAAAGAAGGGTAATATATTAAAGCTTATTTAAAAAAGGTGTAATTATATAATAGCTATATATTAACTATATTATAAAGGCGTAAGCTAAAGGTTGTAAAGCCCTTAGCTTAGTAATAATACTATAAAAAACCTAAAATCTAAGGAAGGAATTAAAAAAGGTAAAAATAAATATAATTACTTTACTACCTTAAGCTTATGTATTTACTATATAGCTACCTGTAATTATCCTTTATTCCTTTTTACTCTCTTTCACTAACCTGGCTTTTAATAATTACTTTATATTAACTAAAGTTAAATATTTTTTTAATATAAAATTAAATTATTATATAGTAATTATAAACTTACTTAAGTCCCTAAGGATAACTTTAAAAATAAAAAAAATATATATTTTAATAAAATACTAAGAAGACTTTAGTTAATTTATATACTTTTTTACCTAAACTCTTTTTATAATTAATTTAATTATACTATTAAAAACTAACTTAAATAAGTATACTAAAGCCCTATAAAACCTTTTTAAATAAATTATAAAGGTAGTTAGTAAAACTAAGTATTAAAATAGCTATAGTATACTATAGTAGTTAAAGAAATATAAAGTAGCTTATAAAATTTATAAAAAAGTAGTAAATAGCTCCTTTATTTATAAAGAAGTTTATAAAACCCTTAGAAATATTATATACTATAGTAAATAAGCTTACTAAAATAAAATTATAGTAAAAGCTAATATTATTAAAAATATTTAATTAATAGCTAAATAATATAAAATAATAAATTACTTTTAACTACCCCCCTTAATAAATAAAAATAAAAGTATTTTAAACTTTATAAAAAAAATAACTTTTTTTAAAAATAAACTTCTTAAGTATAAAATAATAAAAGAAAATATTTTAAATTTATAAAAAAAGAATTTTTTTATTAATAAAAATATTTACTAAAACTAAATAATATTAAAATTAAAAATTAAAAAAACTATAATAAAGTTAAGAAATACTATATTTAGTATAAATAGTATATTAATTACTTTTTTATAACTTACTTAGCCTACTATTAGTAAATATATAATTAACTTTTTTTATAAATATTTAATAATAAAATACTACTTACTTTTTTTCTAAAATATAAAAATTACTATTATTCTTAAACTTAAAAAGCTAAAAAAAGTATATATTATATATAAAAACTATAAACTTATTTCCTTACTTTTTTATATAAATAAAAGCTTTAAAAAACTCCTAATTAAAAAAATCTTTTTTTTAGTAATAAAATATAAACTACTATTAAAATAATATTTTAAAGCTTTTTTAAAAAGGTTTATAATAAACTTAGTTACTTACCTATTATATAATATTAAAGTTACCTTAGCCTAAGGTTTTATTATTTCCTTTTTTATATTTAATATTTTTAGTATATTTAATATTATTATATATAACTACCTAGTATATAAACTTAAAGTATAAAAAAGCCCCCCCTTTTTATAAAATAAGTTAACTTTTTTATAAATAGCTATAAAGCTTTTATTTAAAATAACTATAGGACTACTTTTTTAAAAATAAAGTTAAAATATAAAGCTTTATAAAAGTCCTTTATTTTTCTTATTATTTTTATACTTTATTTTTCCCCTAGCCTAAAGTTTAATAACCTTAATACCTGCTTTAAATATATAAATAATATTAGTATTATAATAGTAAGGGTTAATATTAAAGAAATTACTTAAAAGCTTTAGTAAAAATTAAAAAAATACTTTAAACTAAGGTAATAAAAACGTAATCTTTTTTAACTTAAATAAAGTTAAACTTATATACTTTTATAAAACTAAAACCTAAGTATATAATAAAGAAGTAAACTTTAAAGAAAGAATTATAATCCCTTAGGATTTAATTTAATAATTAAAGATATACTTAAATTTATAGCTTTTTTTTAAAAAATACCTTAGGATTATAAAAAAAAAAACCTTTAAAGTAGCTAATTTTCTAAAATTTTTAAATAAAATATAAAAAAAATCTTTATTAAATATAATAACTATAGTAGCTAAGGTTTACGTTACCCCTATAGCCTTATATAAAATAAAGGTTTTTTAGCTTAATAAAAGTAAATAAAATATAATAAACTTAAATAAATAAGTAAAAATAAGCTTAATAAAATTAACTATAATTTTAAAACCTTTATTTAAAATAGTAGCTAAAGTAATTATTCTTATATAAAAAATAATTAACTTTTTTATTATATATAAAAAATTAAAAATCCCCCTAGTATTAATATAAGTAATATAAACTAAACTTTATATAATAGCTTACTTTATAAATTTAAATAAAAATTACTTAATTAATAAATATATTAATAAAAAACTTTTTTTTAAAGTTTCCCTTATTTAATTATAATATATTATAACTTTAGTAAAAAAAATAATTTAACTTTTTTTATTTATTAAAAATAATAAAGTAGTTTAAGTAAGCTTAAACTTTAAAAGTTTATTAAAGTTAAAAATAATAGAAAAATACTTAAAACTACTTAATAGCCTCCTTAAGTTTACCTTCCCTACTTACTTAAATAAATTATAAAATAAATAAAGTAATATTAGTTAAAAAGCTATTATATATTATAATTTTAAAAAAACTATAATATATAGCCTTTTTATTAATATAAAAGTTTATAATACTAAAGTAGTAAGTATTTTTAAAATTATAAAGTTAATTAAAATATATACCTTTATAAACTTAAATATTTAAGAAATTTTATTTTTCTTAAATAATTTAGTAATAGTAAATAAAATACTAAAGTTAACTTTTACTTTATTTTAAAGAGCTTATATAAGGTTATATTAAATTACCTAAAAATTACTTTTATAAGTAATTATAAAAATAGCCTAAATCTTAAGTTATAAAAATATATTAAAAAATAAAAAAGCTAATTAATTAATAAAAAAAAATTTAAAACTTTTTTACTACTTAAAAAATTACTTTACTATTACCTTTATTAAAAAATAAATAAATAAAAAATATAAAAAAATATAAAATAATAATTAAAATAATAATTACCTAAAGTTATATAAAATTAATAAATAAGGCCTTTATAAAGTCCCTTTCATACCTTTAAAACTATATTTTCTATACTTAATTTTATATAAGCTATTAATTAAAAAATTTAAATATAAAAACTTTATAAAATATTATAAAAAATTTAAATATAATACTAAGCTTATTTATAAATATAAAAACTAAAAATATAAAAATATTTTATAAAATATTATATAATAACCCTTTTCCTTTTTAATATATTAAACAGGAAAGTATATTTTAAAATTACTTATATTTAATACCTCTTTAGTAATAGAGGGTATAAGGATTTTTAAAAATTAGTAAAAAAAATAAGCTTATATAGCCCCCCTTTTATAAAAATAAATATATAAAATAAATTAATACTTTTTTATTTCCTTTATTATATTAAAACATAGTAAATACCTAATTTAAACTCAGCAGCTCCTACTATCCTAGTACTTAGATAAGGACTTATATAACTAGCTTACTTAGTGGACGTTAATAATAAAATAAATAAATAAATAAACAAACATAGATAAGAATGATTTTTTAAATTGCACCCGGCCCGGATAATCTCTCTAGCTCTTCTCGAGCACTCTGTATGTCTCTCATTCGGATACCGCTCCGGTCACACATACTCTTGAAAATACCGCCTTTCTTCCACAACTCCAATGGTGTGTCCAGCTCAGCAATCCTTCCCGCATCCATAACACAAATGCGGTCGTAACCCACAATCGTGCGCAGTCGATGCGCAATGCACAGCACCGTCTTGCCCCGGAAGCCTACGGCCATCGCCTTTTGAATCATGTCATCCGTCTCCATGTCCACAGAGGAAGTTGCCTCATCACAAACAATAATCTGCGAGCCCCGGATGAGTGCACGGGCTAGAGCCATAAGCTGCCGTTGGCCGAGGGAGAAGTTCAAGCCGTCTTCCTCAACAATGCTATCTAGGCGGATCTGGCCCGTTTTGCAACCTTCCCCATCAGCATCTGTAGAGACAAGGCCGGCTTGGCGTAAGGCTGACCAGAGTTCGGTGCTGTTATGCTCATTGAAAGGGTCGAGGTTGGTGCGGACAGTACCGCAAAACAGGGTTGGATCTTGCGGAATAATCGTAAGGCGGGATCGCAAATCATATAGACCGATAGTAGCAGTATTAATACCGTCGATTATAATGGAACCCTTTGAGATTTCAACAAGTCGGAATAAAGTGCCCATAATAGAGCTCTTTCCTGCGCCAGTTCGGCCAATAATTCCAATACGCTCGCCACCTTTTATATGTGCTGAAAATCCTTGAAGAACAAGAGGAAGGTTGGGTCGATAGCGCATTTGAACATTTTCAAAAATAATTTCACCTCTCTCAGGCCAAGACTTTCGAACATCGACGGTCTGTAATGGTGCCTCTTCTTCCAGCATATTACCGTAATAATGAAGGCGTTCAACAGCATTCATGCTATTCTCAACTTCTGCTAGTAGACGTATAGCAAACTGAAGCATCTGGACAATAGTTAGGATATAGCTTAATACTAGACCGCTAATAGAAGGATTGATGCCAAAACGAGATGTAACAACAAGGATTCCGATAATAAAGACAAGCAGGTTGCCAATCAGATCAAGCCGGGTAGCTAACCACCGCTGATTGGAAAAGGTCAGATAATACGCGCTATTCATGTCGTCCATTGCCCTTTGAAGTTCCTGAACGAATTGGTTTTGAACTCCGTACGCGCGGATGCACGCAACGCCGGTGAGGCCCTCCCCAAATTTAGCAAAAACAGTAGATCGCAGAGTAGATTCAAACTGTTTGACCTGGCGGGCAGATGCACGATAATACAATGCGGCCAGAATGCAAAGGATATACATAGGACCCAGAACAATAGCAAAGAAGTGGAAGTAAGTAACAATAAGGGCGAATACAGCCGTAACCGTACCGAGAGTAAGGAAAAACAACCGTAAGGAGTCTGTGAGATTGTTGTCCATAACATTGATGTCTTGCGAGAAGCGGTTTGTAATACGGCCTAAGGGCGTAGTATCAAAAAATGATACAGGTGCTCGCAGAACGCGGAAAACGGCTTCACGGAGCATAACCTTACTAGAGCTGGTGCCCATAATAGAGAGCGAGACAGAGAAGAGGAACACAAGGAGGGCTTGGAAGGCACCAAGGCCGGCGTAAATGCCAATGTACTGGCCAGTTGATAAGTTAAACTTATTCGAGGTCCAGTAAGACAGCCATAAGCTAGTTGCAATATTGGCGCCTTGAGCGAGAACCAGAATAAAGAATATCAGCGGTCCGTTGAGAATAGTACCTGAAGCACGAATATACGCTCCATATACACCCCATGGCACGCTCGACTCGGGCCTTTCCTCCTGTTGCATAAGAGCACCTTTCAGGTTCTCGTTGTCCTCTCGGGCCTTCACAGATTCAGTCGGAGACGGCTGCTTTCCATTAGCCTCTTCTTTTCCCTCTTCCCGCTTTTTCTCAACATCAGTAGTTTCCATCAGAGTTCGAAACCCTTTATGGTCACGCATAAGATTTTCAAATGTGTCGATTGCGTGAATCTTGCCCGAGTCCAACCAGACAATCCTATCACAGCGGCTGAGAACCCAGAGCTGGTGGGTAGCAAGAATTCTGCATTTATTCTTCAGCAAGCCCAGAATAGCATTATCAAAAATATGACGGCCAACGTGGGCGTCAACAGCACTCAGCGGGTCATCCATAAGAATTATATCGGCATTAGAGTAAATTGCTCGCGCAATATTAAGACGCTGCTTTTGTCCACCGGAAATTGTAATACCCCGTTCACCAATTTCCGTCTGATCGCCATTAGGCAGCATGTCCAAGTCCGTCTGAAGGGCACATCTATATAAACCTTCGGTTAGTTTCAGGTGCAGAATATCACTTATACGGGACCGTTGCTTACGCTCTAATAGTATCCTTATACCACTGTTTATCCATCTCCTTGCCAAAAGTAATGTTTTTCTGTAATGTTGTATTTTGAATCCAGGGATACTGAGAACAGAACGCTTTAGATGCGCCAAATATCAAATCACCATTCGTTTTCCTCATATCACCCGCTAGAGCAGAGAGTAGCGAGCTTTTACCGCAACCGACGGTGCCAATAACAGCAATCAGTTCGTCTCGTCCGACTTGGAAGCTAAGATCCTGTAGCTTGAACGGCTCGCGTTCCTCTAAAACGGTATCGACACTGCTCTCCTCGGAAGAACTATGCTGAGAAATCTCCTTTTTCTCATCGACTTTCTCGACATCTTTCTTGGTCTTCGCAGCGCCATTGCTCTCGACGCTGTTGTCGGGGTCTTGGTTGGGCGTTCCCTCCCAAGTGAAGGAGGCGCCAACCAGCTCAATAGCAAGCTTTTCGTCAGGTATATAAATGAAGTTCTCCTCCTGCTCTTCCTCAAGAAGAAAGTGTTGGATACGCTGAAGCGACGACCATGCGTCGATAGTCTGACCAAGGATCTGAGGCAATAGATTTAGGGGCATTCTGAGACTATTAAACAAGGCTAAAGACGAGAAGACTTCCGCTGGCGCCAGATTACTATGGGTTAGTGAAAAAGTAATAAATGAAAGCATGGACGCAAAGATAGGCATGGACATGCTAACAGCGTTAATACTGTCACGGATCGCTAGTAGGGTTTGGATAGAAGAAATCTCCCTGGAACGAATTTCTTCCAGGCGGTCAACAAAAGCCTTTTCCCAGCCAAAATATTTAACAAAACGAATGGATTGAAGTATCTCCTGGGTGAGTGAGACACGCTTGTCAGTGATCATGTTAATGGCATGTCGTCGGTGGAGAAGATTTCGCATAGCCCTAGTCAGCAGGGGAACACTAATGACGAGTAGCCCGAAGCCAGCCAAAGCGCTGTATGATAAGTTAACGATTAAGAGGGCGAGGGTGATGAGGCAAGTAATGGGAGATGTCCAGATCATATGAAAGGAAGTTAAGGGCTGTTCGACGCGGGATGTGTCGACGCTCATTAAGCTAGTAATTCGGCCGTTACTCCAACCAGCACCATTTTTTTCATCCTCTTTCTCGCCTGCCTTGTGCATTTGAGCTTCTTTGGAACCGCCAGCTCTAGCACGACCGGAAATAACCATGGACTTTTCGTAGATGAGGCCAACAAGCACAGAACGAGTCTGACCGCCGATCAACATTCCTCGATAGATATAGTGGCTCGTACAGGTGCTTTGCAAAAGTTGCATTATAGTGACACCGACAACTAGACCGATACCCTGACCAACCACAGGAGGCGTTGTATGACTCAATTGGGCATTGTAGGCATCGGTTGCAAATTGGATCAGGTACCGGAGCGTGAAGGGAGTAAAGACCTGCAATACGGATGCTACCAGCGAACACAAGCCGCCGAGCCAGAACTCGAACATGAATGTCTCATGCAGCGCCCAGAAGAGCGGATTCTGTTGTTTGTTCCGGACTCGTCTATGGAAGGCGTTCTTTACTTGACAAATCAGTCGTTCAGAGGCCCTATCTGGATTGATGAGCCAGATATCTTGTTTGTCCAGCTGACGTCTGTATCCCGTCTGCATTTGTCTGTTAGTCCATGATACCTAGTTGCTGGGCCCATTTGCTTGTCGCGTATGTCAAGAATGCAGAGTCCATGTTAGACTCACCGTCATTAGGGGCGTCATCCATGCAAAGGAGACTTTGCTAAAGAAGCTGGCCTGATGCTCTCTAGATACTGTGCGCTCCTTCGGAATCGGCGGGATGTTCCACAGCAGTGGATTTGCCCTCTTGTACCATGGTGTCGGCTCCCGTTCATGTGTCAATGTTGTATCGAGTGTCGTGTCGGCGTCATGTGTTGTAGCGGCAGGTAGTTGCAGTACATTGTCTTTTGGTTCGATCTCTTCTCTTTGGTTATCGTTATTTGCATCTCTGTGCACGTCTCTTTCAGCTTCCGACTCCTCGCTTTGAATCTCGCCTGTGAGAGTATCTTGAGATCCAGCAGGTTTTAGATCTCTATTGACACTGGAGCTTGCCATTATCAGACAGACTATGGCCAGTAACAGCTGTTCAAGTGCTGGAATAGAGATAGTTGTACCGGATAAGAATGGCGCGAGGACGATTTCGGTACAACGGAATTGATCCAATCCTAATGTTGCTCATTAGAAATAGGTTTAGCAATGGGAAAGAGACAAGCCAAAGACCGTGGGTGAGTTCGAATAGAGGAGAGAATTATTCAAGCAAGTAAAAGAAACAAGACAGAAACCATCTCGGGGTGAGCATTCGTCGTTCATTTTGCCAAGTTAGGTGTAAGGGTGTTGATCGCTTACTCCAGAGCAGACGTATGTTAGGGAAGGTATCTACAGGACCCCCTGGTAGAGGATTATTTGTAAAAGTGAGATGAGCAAGGGAAGTGAGACGAGCAAGGGAAGTGAGACGAGCAAGGGAAGTGAGACGAGCAAGGGAAGTGAGACGAGCAAGGGAAGTGAGACGAGCAAGGGAAGTGAGACGAGCAAGGGCAGTGAGAGCAAGGACAGTGAGCGTCAAGGGCAGAGTGCATAAGTACAGGTACTATTTATAATTATGCCGAGTAAACCGAATCTAGTCATGTGTTTTCAACCTAGGTGGACAATATGCTCAAGGAATAGGCTCACGTCCGAATATTCTAGGGAACGGGATCGCATCCTTTACATGAGGTATGCCACAGAACCACCGCAAGACTCTCTCAAAGCCCATTCCAAAGGCTGTATGTGGCACCATACCAAAATCGCGAGATTCCAAAACCCACGAATAGATGTCCATCTGTTCCATCTTTCCCTTCTCTTTCATCCGAGTTTCAAGCTCTTCCCTAGTATAAGATTTCTCTGCAACGCCGCAGATCTCACCAAAGCCTCCCGAGGAGATCAGGTCCGCCGTCATAGACAACCGTTCATCTTCTGGAGAAATGCAATACGGGAACGGCTCCAGATCCCGCGGCTTGTGGGAAATCCATAGCGGTCCGCCAAAATGCTCTGACAGTATGTTCTCAGCTTGTTTGGAGATATTCTGGCCGAACGAAAGGGGAAAGCCCTTTTCGTTTAAGAGAGCCACAGCATCTATATAGGATATTCTTGGGAAGGGGATCTGGATACGAGGTCGCTTGGTCTCCATCATGGCCGTGAGTTTGTCTGTGAACGGTAATAGCGTTTCTGAGATGTCGCGCAAAAATATCTCAACAAGATCCATAATATCATCCATCTTGCCGGAACAAATCTCTGCCTTGATGTGCCAATATTCCATCAGATGACGATTCGTGCGACTCTCATTCCGAAAGCTCGGACCAAGGTTGTAGACACGCTCATGGGCATGAGCAGCAGCCTCGAGATAGAAGCCCGCGCACTGAGAGAGGAACAAAGTTTTATTTGTCTTCAAATTGGTGAGGTGAATGGCGGAGTTAGGCTCGTAAAGAATCGACGGTGTAATGAGGGGTGCACTGATATCCACAAATTGATGGTCCTTGAACCACTCATGGATGGCTGTGAAGAAGTGTGAACGGTATGCGTTCAGTGCCAAAATCAGAGGATTCCGGAGATAGAGATGCCGGTTGGCAAGGACCTTGTCGGTATTGGCGTTAGCTAGAATATCCTTGTCCAACTTACGAATCTCTGGATGGAGCAGCTTGGTGGCTTTAGAAATGATTGAAGCCTTCTCCAGGAGGATCTCAGCCTTCCCACGAGATAATGAAAGGGTTCCCGAGACCTTGAGACTCGACTCCGTTTTCAATGTCTTCAGTTCGGCCCATGAGGGCACCTTCGCTTTGTCTACAACAACTTGAATGGTTCCACTGCTATCGCCCACGGGCAAGAACAGCATGGTTCCATGGTCACGCGTGCGGCCGACTAGCCAGCAAAGAAGATTAACCTCGTGGCCTGACTGCCCTTGATGCAAGTCGCGAATGAACTCATGTTTAAAGCCAGTGATATCCGCAAAGGTCTTACTTCTTAGTACCGCTCTAGGCTCCAAATCATCTGGATTGACACAATTTAGCATCATTCTCGCTTGAATCAATTCCAAATATGAACTTACCCAGATATTCATGCAATCTGTGAGCAGTTTCAGTAGGTGTCAAATTGGTCACATCGAGCTTCCAAGTATCATCTTTGTGGCCGTTGGTATGCGATAGCTCGGGAACATTTTGCTCAAGGAGTATCGAAAGGAACGGGAAGCCCTGTTGTGTAACGGTTTCTCTGTAAGCCTGTAGAGATACATCTGCCAGCGAGCTTCGAGGTTGCTGGCTGACAAGGATCCAAGTAATATGCGAGGTAGAGTTGTTTTTCAAAACAGACTTGACAAGATTTTGGATCTATACACTTATTAGATTCATTTCTCAGGTACCTTTGGTATACTCACCATTGTCTTATGCAATTTAAGACCACTTCCTTGAGCTGGGTCTGAAATCGCTGCCGTGAGGTCGAATATGAGACTATTCGGAAACACCTTCGAATTTGGTAAGAGTTGACTTAACCTAACATTAGTAAACCCGGTTTAGGATGAAGTATCGCGTCATAGATCTCACCAGAGTTCCTCAGCGACTACCGCCGTGTCCACCTCTGGGTGCCCTTCGACCAGGATGAATTGTGCCATGACGAACGAACTGCTCCTCGAGAAGGCAAAGCTAGCACAACTAAATATATGAATAGAATGAGTGATCCAAGAAATAGTCTCTGATCCGATTAATGAGGACGATTTTTGAGATTGGTTTCCCTTATATAGTTAGATTGGCCTCTCTAAATCAATAGGTATTGATACAAGCTCGGAGCAGCCTACTATCTCCGCTCCTTGCAAATCGAGGCCTGAAGCATTAGTGTTCGCTCAACATGCGTTACAACCTAAAAGCAACCTAGCAAGAGCCTAACCGTCACAACATCTCACACCGACTTTGTTACGGTTACAGTATCACACGCCGCAGTTACCATATTTTTCACTGATTATTTCATAATTCAGAGGTCAAAGCTGCCCAAGTAGCGTATAGCTTAACTTGCGAGGCTGAAAGTAGCTAACCGACAACTCATAAGTTTGGATTTATGTAAGCAGATCAAGTTAGGTTGAATCAAGTAATAGAAAATATTATCATTAGCTGCACTAGATTAAAAAGGAAGCTATTAAAGTTACGTTTTCATATATAAGTACGGAGTATATTTACTATTATTTACCTAACTTAGATTCTGATTCTTGTATAAGAACGAGAATACTAATCATGAAATTCTAAAGCATAACTTTTCGTGTATTTTCTTTATAATAAAATATTGTTTTGTAATTATTTTGACGCTAGATAATTACTAAGTAATAATAGAACTATTAAACGGAGCAATCATTTGATAATGAAATCTCCGCCGTTTCGTATACATAAACCAATTGATACCTTGTACTACACTATTGTACCACGATTACTATTCTTTCACTAAGCTTATAAATTCGTATTAAAATACAAGCTTTATGTAAGACAACCCTCTGCTAACGCTGTTTACCGAATGACCCGTGCCTCATGCTGACCGCATATGGATATGATAGCGAATGCTTACGCTTCAGGGGATATCTACAGGGGATTGAGAGTCCCAATTCGTACTCTTAGGCGAGGCCGTCGGATCCGCATTTACCCATAACCAAGGAGTTGATTCTGACAGGTCAACCGCATTTAGCGTGCAATAGTTACGTGTATATGGACCAAATTAACAAAGATGAAGACCTTGATGTACACCGTACCCCAGGCACTTTTCGAACAAGTCAAGTATCTCTAAGTTGATATTTGTAGGGAATTGCGCACTGCTACATCTGTCAAATGTACCCTAAAGGAACATATATACAGATACCATTACAACAAGATTTATGATGGTTCAAAGTGCAATGTGTCGATGGATGTATTGTTCTATACTACCTTAAACCGCCTTATACTAGTCCAATGTGGGTGCAGCCATGCGGTTAGACCACCGAGATACGAGTACAACAATCATGCGGCAAATCCCTGTACGTCTAGACATAGACCCAGATTTTAGGGCAAATCACCGCCATACTGCCGAGATAAGGATGCCGCCAATCCCCACCAATACACATATCAAGTAATTGCGGCTGATCCTCGCATAGACACATATGCAGTAATTACCCATGTGACCGAATCTGTTATCATTTTCCCTCTTTGACTAGGCTGGATGACGTAGCACGGGAGTGAGTTGGTTTGTTGATGCTATCCCGGAAGTGGTAAACGGAAAGTGAAATGCCGACAAATGGTGTGCTAGCAGGGTTAATTTTTACAACTTTGTTAAATTTAGACTACTTTATGTAATCAACACGTCTAAAGAAAACAAATGCCTAGCACTCGTGGTAATTACGGATAGTATACAGTATAACCCATTTGCGTTAGTTTATATCCCTACACGTGTCCAAGCCCAAGAGGGTCCCATCGTCAGCCATGCAAGAGATGAGATGGCCAGACTGATTTGATAATATTTATGAAAGACACATGCACAAAAGCGGGAGCGCCTTTCACTTGCTGAATACATAGTATTTGCGTTTGTGGTTTAACACTCTCCTCTTTCCCAAAATGCTGTGTATACCAGCGAAAAGTTTTCTTCAATATCTCGTCGCGTCCAGCCAAGATGGAGTTGTCTCAGCTCCTGGCATCTCTTGCCTGTATCGCCGTGTCCTATGGAGTTGTTCAATTGGCTAATGAATGGCGAAGGGTGAGAAGAGTCAAGATGCGGACCGTCGATTTGCCCGTCTTAAACTTGACTGGAAATGATTACGCAGGTGCTGAAAGGGCGTACACCGAAAATCTAGGAGGGCTTCTGCGAGAGGGTTATGAGAAGTACAAGCACGGTTTTTACCAGCTGTTCAGCCCTACCGGATTCCTCGTCATTGCTTCTGCGGACTACGTCCAAGAAATAAGCCAGCTTCCCGAAGGAACACTTGATTTCCACGGAGCTACCCAGAGGGTTCGAAAAACCAAACAGCATTTGTTTAGTATCCAACCTCGGACCGAAATGTGATGCTAACTGCCTTGTGTGAATATTCAGCGGATGATTGGTGATTACAACTGGCTACAAGTTGGCGATACTTTGCTAGCCCATACCATTCTCACCGACGTGGTTCGACAATTAGGTATAGTTGAACAGATCTCTTCTATGAAACCTTTCCTTGCAGACTGCTAACAAAACACTGCGGATTAAAGGAAATCTACTTCCTGTCCTCCAAGAGGAAATAGAATATTGCTTTCAAAATGTGCTGCCCCCTTGCCAAGGTTCGTGCTCTTCGAGTTTTCCTTTCATATCTCCCTTAAAATGTTAGCTTGAGCATTTCGCAGACGGTTATACTGACTCGAGAAGCGACCTGGACACCTGGAAATATTCAGAAACTAGCACCTAGGCTAATTGCCATCATCATGGGTCGCGTGTTTGTTGGACCTGACCTTAATCGCAATAAAGAATGGGTCGACAACGTCATTCAGTTTGTAGATGATGTTTTTGCAGCTGGGTGGAAAATCAAAGCCTACAGTCACTTCGCCAGGCCGTTCGCTGCCCGTTTCCTAGTTGCCGAAACCCGCCGAGTTCAAAACCAAAAAGCCATGGCAAGACGCCTGTTGGTGCCTATCTTACGAGACCGTTTGGCATCCCTTAATGAGCCCGGCGCTGAGAAGCATCTTGACCTCCTTCAATGGCTGGTCGTTAACAATGCTAAATCACCTCATCCTAAAACACTCGAAAACTTAGCAGAACTCGCCCTGGTAGCTTACGTCGGGTCCACGCATACAGCTGCAACGACACTGACAAACATCCTCCTCGACATAGCAGCCAGACCTAACGACTTAGAGGTGCTTCGAAATGAGATCAGCACAATCAACCTAGAAGCGACTGGATTAGACTTGAAGCAGAGCTTTTATATCAACCACACAAGCAAGCTTGACAGTTACATGAAGGAGTCTCAGCGTCTTAACCCTGCTTTCCTTAGTATGTTTCATTGCCCTCTTTCATTGTTACCATTTTTGAAAAAAAAAAAAAAAAAAAAAAAAAGGTACCGAGATTAACGATTTGTAACTCGGAATGTAGTGACATTCAGCCGCATCGTCCGCAAGACTTTTACACTCTCTAACGGGTTGACCTTCCCTGCGGGAACGCACTTTATAGTCCCGGCAAGTAGAATTTCACTTGACCCGGAGGTATGGGAGAATCCGCAAGAATTCGATGGATTCCGCTTCTCGGATCTCCGGGCCAAGACGCCCGAGAACATACACAAATATCAGTTTACAGGAACCTCGCCCCAGGCTATGCATTTTGGATACGGCCGTAATGCCTGTCCAGGAAGATTCTTCGCAAGCACTACCATTAAGGTATTTGTCGCACATCTCCTGACTAACTATGATATCAAACTCTCCACCAAGGAAAGGCCACCAAATGATGCGACAGGGTCTCAGAATTCAGTTCCGCAAGATGCAGAAATCTTGTTCAGGTCACGGCAATGAAGTCAACGTTTATATTATAAGTAGTAGTAGCATGCGGTTATAACAGGTCTGGATTATGGTTTGATTATAATTTAATGTCCTTAACTATTTATTAGTAGTGCGTACTACCTATAATAGAGCTGTGATACAAAAGAATTCTCCCCCATAGTTATAAGTATTTTCTTGACCCTATGCTGCATAGTAGACTTAGGGTATATTTTCACAAATAGCAATCAGGCGTAAGGAGGGGAATAGTTATGTATTATAACCTGATCTAGCGAATGTATATACCTTAGATAAAGTATAAACTAAAGAATTAATTAAAAGAGAATTACGTATAAAATATACCTTTAATAAATTAATATTATAAGCTATTATAATTTAAAAGAATTATAATTTAATAGTAATTTAAGGAAATAATTAAATATATGAAATTTAATTTTTTATATTTTTTTATATAACTTAAATAAATAATTATTAATAAAGAATTAAAATTAAATATAAACTAAATTTTTATTATATTTTACTTACTTTATAATTATATTTATTTAAAATTAATTTTTATTTTTTTATTAATATAAATTAATTAACTTTAATTTATTACTTAAAAATTTATTTTATATTATTAAAATATTAAATTAAAATATTATATATTAATAACTTCTCTCCTAGGTACAGAGGATAAACTACCTAACTAAGATTAGAACAATAGGTTACTATTAAACCTTTATCTAGTAGCTATTAGCTAACAGTAGCCTAGCTAATTTACGTTTTCTCTTTTATAATTAATTTAGGTTACTCTTTTTTACCTTTTTTATTCTTTAGGCTTTAGTAGACCTTCTTTATAGTACTAATAATATCTTTATTATAAGTTTTTATAGTAGTAGCTATTATTTTAGCTATAGTTACGGTTAGTTTTTTATTACCTTTAGCTATTGTAGCTGTTTATAATGTATATTGGCTGTTAACTTATTTTTAGTTATTGAAAGGGGTGCGTTGTTTTATTAGGTAGTCTTTTGTATTATATACGTAATTTATTTTTAGGCAGAATTATTACTGCCTTTTATAACCTAATAGAAGGATACCTATCTAGTTTAGTTAAGTTATTAAACTATAAGTTACGGGGCTTAAAGTTAGTTACATTATATTTAAACCTTATTATTTAGGCTGTTTTATATACTTTAAGTTTAGTCTTAAACCTTAATTAGTGGTTATACTTTATAGCCTAAATCTTTAAGGTTTAACTTAATTAGCTATAGTTAATTAGGTTAGGCTGTGGATTAATTCTAGATTTTAAACTAAAGGCTAGGGTATAATTTTCCTTTAACTTAGCTATTATAACTTTACTAACCCTTTTAATAATAAATATAACCTTTATAATTAATATAAATAAAAGTATTATTATAAAAAACTTATTTAATATTTTATTATTTAAAAATAAAAAGCTTTTAATATTTATTAAAAATATATATTAATTTAATAAAACTTTAGTTAATAAATTTAATAAAAAAAATTAAAATAATTAATATTAAGATCTTTATTAAATATTAATTACTTTTTATATTTAAAAAAAATATTAAAAAATATTACTTATACTTAATTTAATTTAAAGTTTATTATAAAAATTATAAAATTACTTTTAATATAAATAAAGAAAGTTTTTATTTTACTTTATTATATTTTAAAAATATTACTTTAAAATAATTTAAACTTATTTTAAATAATTACTTAAAAAGCTTAACTAAAGAAACTTAAAAATAAACTTAAGAAATCTTTAATAATTATAATAAATATATTTTAAAATTTAAAAAAGTTTATAATATTAATTAATTTTTATATACTTTAGTTTTATTTATAAATATTTATATATAAGTAACTAATTTACTATATAAACTTAAAATTAATATTACTTAGTAATATTAGTAAAATAAATATTAAGCTAACTAAAGTAAAAAATAAAATAAAAAAATTATTAAAAATAATAATAGTAAACTTAAAAAAATAAATTTAAATATTTTATAATATAAAATTTTTTAAAGTATTATAATTATAGTAAACTAAGTTATATAATTAAAAACTATTAAACATTAAAAAAAATATAAAAATAAAATTCTAAAATTAAAAAGAAAATAATAAATTAAAATTAATTAATTTATATTAATAAAAAAAATAAAAATAACTTTAACTAAATATAATTATAAAATAAGTAAAATATAATAAAAATTTAATTTATATTTAATTTTAATATTTTATTAATAATTATTTATTTATATTATTTAAAAAATATAAAGAATTAAATTTTATATATATAATTATTTTATAAAAAGTATTATAATTTATTACTCCTTAAAGTATTTAAAGTACTTATATAAGTTACTTTAATTATAAAAGCGTTAAATCTTATTACTTCTTTTTACTATTAATTATTTAGTTAATCATTATTCTAAGTACTTTTTCTTTATACCTTTATTAAATCGAATTGTAATAGCAGTTATTATTCAAAGTTATCCCTCAGACTTGATTTAGGTACTATAAGCTGCTGTATATCGCTATTCGTCATCGTCGGACGCAACTAAACCATTATCGTCGCCAGAAGGACCAGCAGGGCGATCCTCCAGCTCGCTATGTCTTGTCGCCGCTATCGGCAATGGCTCTTCGACCAGCACCTGACTCTCTTACGGGTAAGACTTCGTAGTACACGTCACTAGCTAAGTTGCGTATCCCAAATACAATACTTTATTCACTTGTTTCACTTTCTTCTTATTTTAGAGTCAATATAGATACTGGAAAACTTTTCTTATTCTACGTCTTCAGCGTGATGAAGGATTGTAGTTTGGAGGGGCCAGATCACGTGGTCAAATTACTGGCATCCGATCCGACGCTGCCGCTCAGTTTTCAGTCAGATCCTCTCAAGCAAACGTTATCGGGCGTTTGCTACCGATATAACACTACCCAACCCTCAGTCATGCTACTCAACGACTATAAAGTGAGTGTGATCTGCTGCTAATTTGTAGGACAAACATTGACTAACTAGGTGATAGAAGAGCGCGGGTATGAGTAAAAGATTCAAAATAGCCCTTATCAGGGCGACACGGTGTTTTTCGTCTCTATCTTCTCAAACACCCGCAGTACCTAAAATGCCTCCAGCACCCATTCTCAAGCTCAAAAGCTGCCTGGTGCGGGCTTACGATGAAGGAGACGTGAAGTCCCTCGCCAGAGCAGCAAACAATCCCAAGATATCGCGATGGATGCGTAACACATTCCCACAACCATACACGACCGATGATGCCAAGAAGTGGATCTCTATCGCCAACTCTGCATCTCCGATCCGTGACTTCGCCATCTGCCAGCTGGACAGTTCAGTGGTTATCGGCGGTATTGGTCTCAAAGCACGAGACGACATCCACTACCGAACGATGGAGATCGGCTACTGGCTGAGTGAAGATCGCTGGCATCAAGGTATAGCCACAGAAGTCGTCATTGCCTTCTCCAACTGGGCTTTCGAAAACTTCAAGCAGCTATTAAGACTAGAGGCCGAAGTCTTGGAGGGGAACGTAGGAAGCTGCCGGGTTCTAGAGAAAGCGGGCTTCGTGTTTGAAGCAAGGCAGAAAAACGCGGTTGAGAAAATGGGCGCAGTCATGGATACCTTTATATATTACAAGTTAAGATAGAAACCTTAGACTTAATTCTTCTTGGTGAAATAATAGACTTTCTTTTCTTCTTCTCTTTAGAATTCGTTTTCTTTTTTCCATTCCTCTTATTTTCTCTCTTTCTCCTAGGCGTGCCACGAGATTCAGGGTTTGTACTCCATGCTCGTGCGATATCGCACCGACTTGTTTATATGACACGCCTGAAACAAGATCGCAATGGCTGGTACTATGGTCTACTCATGGAAGCAGCCTCTTTGGTGTTCTTGGATAGTATGATGCAAGATGTACCGTAGGCAGAGCCAGATACCACGCCACTACTCTGTCCAAACCAATACCTCCACCACCGTGTGGTGGTACGCCCGCTGACCTGAAAATATCGAGATACTCCTTGATTCCTGGAGATTCAGGATCGATATCTTTCGCCCGGATGCGGCTTTCTAGAACGCCGGGGAGATGAATGCGCTGGCCGCCAGAAAGGATCTCTTGGCCACGCATAAAGAAGTCAAACGCATTCGTGACGGCTGGATTCTCTGGGTCTAGCATAGCGTAGAAGGGCCGAGCCGACTCCGGGAACTTATCAATGATGTAGAAATCGGTCTTATACTTTTCGCGAATGATTGCTCCGAGCGCCTTCTCCTGGGGAGTGCTCATATCTTCGTCGGCGCGGACATTGCGGAATTCTTCGGGACCTTCTTCGCGAAGCAGCTTTTGGCCATCGGCAAACGAGATTCGGACTTCCTCGCCGACCTTGGGTAACAAGAATGGTGGGGATGGGTACACGCTGCGGACGAGTTCGATCTGGTCTTTGCATCGTACTTCGAGCTGTCGGAAGATGTGTAGCAAGAGGTCTTCTAGTAGATACATAACCTCGTGGTAATGATCTTCAATCTCTGTTTCGAGATCCATGACGAAGAACTACATGAAAGCGTCAAGCTGTTAGCCCCGAAGACTTTAGAGGAATCGGAAAATACGGGCAGGGGGAATCAATGTCAGCCGCTCACCTCAGTCATATGTCTCCGGGTGTTGGAATTCTCCGCCCGAAAAGTCGGGCCAACGCTATATACCTTTTTCCTTCCGCCAGCAATTTCCATCTGCTTGTAGAACTGTGCTGACTGTGCTAGGTAGGCCTCCTTTCCGAAGTACGGGAGCTTGAATACCTCTGAACCTCCTTCAGAGGCCGCACCAATCAGACACGGGGGCTCGAATAGATTAAAGCCCCGTGCATCCAGATATTCAGTGAAAATCTTACGAATGGTCATCCGAACATCGGATATGGCTTGGGAAACGGGAGCACGCTTACGCATGACGGGATTGTTCATGTGCGTAGACAGGCTCGCGCCAGGGACAGCTGATCCGGACACATTCAAGCTCTCCACGCCATCCACGACAGTGTCCTCCTCATCAACTTGCGTGACAGCTTTGTTTGCTGACGCTAGAGTCAGGCTGAGCGTCTCGGGCGCAGGTGCCTCGCAGAACACCTTTGTGGGATGCAACTCATAGTTGGCAACACGGCAATTCTTGACAGGTTCAATAGGCCGTTTAATCGTACCCTCTACCGAAACGAAGCTTTCAGGCTTCAGGGAACCAACCCACTTCACCATCTGTCTGCTGACTTCACTTCCAGCAATCACAAGTCCTTGAATTGACCAAGAACCTTCCTCCCGAAGCTCGACAAAAGCCATCTTCTTGCCCTGCACCCGCGCATTCTGAATCCAGGCCCGCACCTTCACCGAGGAATTAACATGTTGCTCGCCGATATCACGAAGGTGTACCAGTGCAGATTCAATCTTGCGCGGAAAAAGGGTTTCGCCATAGTTGTCTTTGGCGAAGTCGTCCTCGCTCAGACCTGAGGCTGCCGTCGTCATACCTTAGGGCTTGAGAGAGGAAATAGAAAGCAGTGCAGGGTGATTGTACTATGGCTAACAATTCAAAAATAAAGTAACACGAATTGTCTTTGAATTATCTTTTAAAGCCCTCAATAGAACGAAATCTATGAAAAGAGCAGGATGCAGTTGGGCGACAGGCAAACTCGCTGCTTTGCTAGACTAAGCGTCTGGGCGAAGATCACTAGCGCGGGAGGGCACGAATTGAGGGTGTGCAACAAATGTGGGAGCGTCCGATAGTTACAAAAGGTCACAAAGCAGAGCTAGTTAATCGGTTCTAAATACGTATAACCTTGCTGGTCTAGGGCTCACGTAAGATCCAATTGACCAACCTTGTTGCCTCCGTTCCAGACCTTGTAGGGCTGATTTAATTCGTCATATATACGGAGTATTGGCCCTAGCTATAGGAATGGGTCATTGCAGAATACGTGTCCAACCTCGTCTAATTCTTAAACCCCGACGGAACTCTAACAGCGGTGAATAAGTCAGTAGGACCGATTAAGCCCCTGCCTGTATCTCTTTGGTAAATGCGCTATCTGCATTTCTTTGGTAAATAAACAACTGTATAATTTATATTCTAGATTATATCTTAGTATTTTTTTGTTATATTAGGTTAGTGGAAAAAAGATATAAAAAAAGAATATTTCAAGAAGTATAAATTATATATTTTATACCCTAGTGGAATATAATAGAAATATTATATTTATATAATATAATATCCTGACCTAATACTTTAATAGTATAAAGTAAATTCTTAAGGTAATAAGCTAGAGTTAATTAATTTATATTAGTAAAAAAATTAAAAAGTAATTTTAAGTAAATATAATTATAAAGTAAGTAAAATATAATAAAACTTTAGTTTATATTTAATTTTAATACTTTATTAATAATTATTTATTTAAGTTATATAAAAAATATAAAAAATTAAATTTTATATATTTAATTATTTTTAATAATTTATTTTTAAAATTATAAAATTAAGTATAAGATTATTATTTTATAAATAATTTATTTAAGGTAATTTATAATAAAATTTATTACTTTTATATTAATTAATTCTTTAGGTAAAGTATTTTTTTATAATATATTTTTAATATATTTTATTTTAGGTTAGGTTATAATATAATACTTTTTTTTTATCAATATTATTTTTAAGGTTAATTATATAATAATATTATAAATATAATTTAAGTTTTATAAGTTTAATTTTTTTTTTAATTATATTATTATAAATATAAAAATTTTAAAGTTTGTTTTTTATAAAGTTTATAAGTAATTATTATTTATATTATTTATTTTAATTAATAAATCTAAAGTAAATATATTTTATTTATATTATTTTTATAAATTAATTATTTATTATATAATTAAAGATTTATTTTATTATTATAAATATATTAAATAAAATTAATTTTTATAATAAAGTATTAATTATATTTTTTTATAAATAATAAATCTTTTTTATAATATAATAATAATATTAATAAAAGAATTTTAATAATAAAAAATAATAAATTTTTATATAATATATATTTATTATTATTAACTTAGTTTTAAAAAATTACTTTATTTTATATTTAATATAAAAATACTTTTAAAAAAGCTAAAGAGAAATATAAAATTATTAATATAAATAAATATTAAATAAATATCTTTATAAATAAAAATATTTTTAAATAAAAAATATAACTTATATAATTATATAAAGTATTAATAATTTAAAAAAGTTAAATATAATTAAGTATAAAAAAGTAAAAGCTATTTATTAAATTATAATATTATTACTTAATTTAATTAATTTTATAACTATAGGTTTTATAATTAATATTATTAATTAAAATACTTTTAACTTTTTTTTACGAAACTTAGACTTTAGTAAAAGTTATTTATAAAGTTTTTTAAATATTTAAGGTTTTTAATAATTTACTATAAATATTTTATTTTATTATAACTTTTTATTTTACTAAATATTTAATTTATTAAGTATTTTTTTTTTTATATTATTTTAAGTTTTTTAACTTTATATTTAAGTTTTTTACCTTAAATAATAATTTTATTTTATATAATTTTATTTATTTTTTTATTTATTAATATTTGTTTTAATAGTAAAATATAAAAATTTAAATATATAATTCTTTTTTATTTCCCTAAGGTAAGTAAAAAATCTATTTTATAATTAATTAATTTAATTTTTTTTATAATTTTATAAAATTTAAGTTTTTTAAAATTAAGTTTATTATTTANTTTATTTATTTTAATATTTAGCTGTTTATTATTTTATAAGTATTAAAGTAAGTAAATTATATTTCTTTCTTTAAATATTAATTTTTTAATTTTTTTTATATTTATAAATTTAATTTTTTATTTTTAATAAATTTAAATTATATTTATAATTTCTAATATAATTTCTTAAGTTTATTAATTATAATAATAACTTTATTAATATTTTCTTTTTTAATAAATAGTTAATATAAATTTAATTTAAATTTATAATTTATATAAAATAATAAATAATTCATAAATTTTACTAATATATTATTATAAAATACTTAAGTAATTAGTAAATATTTTACTTAATTATTTTAATTAAAATTAATATAATATTATAAATATATTTTAATAATTTAGTTAATTTATTTTATTTATTTATTTATTTAAGGATAGTAAATTATATTAANTTTATATTTTAATTTAATTTATATTATAAATAATTATTAAAATTTTAATATAAATATTAATTGTTTATTTAAAATAATTTTATTTAGTAATTTATAATTTATATAAATATATTAAAAAAAATATAAATTAAGTTTTTTATAAAGTTTTTTTTTATTATTAAAATAAAGTAAGTTATTTTTAAAAGTTAATTAATTATTATAAAAATACTATTTTAAATATTATTAATTGTAAATTATTTTAAAAATAAAAACTTTATAATATAATTAATTATTATTAATTATTAATTTTTAACTAAATTAGTAAAAGTTATAGTTTTTTATAAAAAAAATAATATAATACCTTAGTTTATTTATATATTATATATTTTAATATAACCTTTTATACTTATTTTTTAATACTTTTAAATTTAAAATATTATATAATTTATTATATAGTTTTTTTAATTTTATAATATTTATTAAGCTTATATATATAAATTAATTTTATTACTTTACTTTATAAATTTTTTAATATTTAAATAAGTTTATTTAGTATTAAGTATTTAATATTTATATAAATACTTTTTAAATATTAATTATTTTTTTCATTTTAAATATATTTTTTTATATTATTAATAATTAAATTATTTATTTTAATTTAATATAAAGGATTAATTAATTAAATTACTAAGTTATTATATTAGTTTTTTTTTAGTATTTATACTTTAATTTTTAATACTTTTTAAAAGTAATTTAAGTATTTATTAAGTATATTAATATATTTATTATTTAATTTACTATAGTATTTAATAATAAATTTAAATTTAAAAAGTTATTTATAATATTTAATTTATTTATAAAATAGTTTTTATATTATTATAAAGTTAATAATATTTTAGTAATTTATAAAAAGTATTATTAAAAATTAACTTTTTTTATAATAATATTGTCAATATTATTTACTAAATACTTAATATATAAAATTTTTATTATAAATTAAATATTTAACTTTTAGTTTATATAGTTTTTTAAAAAAATAAGTAATAAGCCTAAGTTTTCTTTTTTTATTATTAAATTAACTAAATATCTTTTTAATTATATAATCTAAGGTATTACTTTTAATAATAATAAATCTATTTAAGTTAAATATTATAAATATTAATATATTTATAAAAGTTTATTTAAGGTATTTAAAGGTTATTAAAGTATTTTATATTAATTTAAATTTAATATTTTTTTTATTAAAGTTATAAATAATATAATAATTTTTAAAAAATCTTTAATAAAGTATTAGTAATAATTAATAAATTTTAAGAAGCTTTATACTTACTTAATGTTTTATAATAGTTTTTAATTATTAATTATATTAAGTTTTTTAAAATTTATTTAAACTTTACTTAAGGTAATAATATATTTCAAAAATATAATTCTTTATATATAAAAGTTATATTTCTTAGGTTTTATTAAAAGTTTATTATTTTAAAATATTTATAATACTTTTTTAATATATTTTTTATATTTCTTTAAGTTATTAAAATAAATAAAGATATTATTAAAATATATAATAATAAAATAACTTATATAATTTTATAATATATAATTAATTATTCTTTTAAAAAATACTAAAGTATTTATAAATTTAAAAAATATTACTTAATATTTATAAACTTTATATTTTATATAAAAAATAATTTTTTATTTATTACTTTTTTTAAATTTAAATAAAATTATATATTCTCTTAAAATTTAGTAAAGTTAAAATTTTAGTTTTTATAAATTAAGTTTTAATTTTTAAAATTAAAGGTAGTAGTATAATATTTTTTTTTAATTATTATATTTAATTATTAAAAATTTATAATTAATTAAAGTTTATTATTTTTCTTAAATATAAATCTAATTAAATATTTTATTATAGATTTAAAAAGTTTAATATAATTTTTTTTAATTAATTTATTAAGTATTTTAAACTTAGTAATACTAAAGTAATAAATCCTATTAAATATTTAAATTTTATTATTTATAAATTTAATTTTATAATTTTATTAATTATATTTTAGTAATTTTATATTTAATCTTTTTTCAAAAACTAATATATACTAAAGGTTTATTAATATATTTTTTAAATATTTTAGTATTTATTAATTTTAGTAATATAATTCCTTAATCTTTTATATAATTAAATTAAAAAATTTAAGTTATTTTTTTATTAGTTTTTTAATATATTTAATTATTTTTAAAAATAGTTTTAATTTTTTAAATTATATTTATTTTATAATTTTATTTCTTTCCTTATATTTTTTTATTTCTTTATATAATATAAAGGTC